CGAAATTACTAGATAACTTTTTAAGTTTTAAGTGAGAGTTATTAAATTTCACATATTGTACACACGCCAGCACATCAAGCTACACATTGACGTATCTTGCTCCGTTCCAATGGTGGCGATTTTCGAACAAAAATGCGTAGTCTGATGTGCCGTTGTCTGTACATCATTTCTTTCATGTAGTTTGTATTATTCTTAAGTGTTTCATGTGATAATATCACTTTTGACATACATTGGGCTTGATTAAACCAAAGGTTCGATTTATTGACACATTACATACATTACAGATATCCTAATAACGTCGCCTTACTTTCTCAAACTCGTATCTTAAAGTACAAAGTTACTGACATGCAAAAAATGGATTGTACATACAAATTTTGCAGGCTGACTTCACTTTATATATCTTTCATATTTACACACTAGCTTTTACCTTTTCTTAAAGTAATGCATCCAAATTAACACACTTGATAAGAAATTTAAAATAAATAGAAAGTTTTGCCATCTATTGAATAATCACTCTTTATAAGACACGAGTTTGAGAAAGTGAGGCATCGTGTTTTACCTTCCGTAAGAAATGTTTTAATTGGTTATTGTCCAGACAAACCTTGGCGGTAGGCATTGTAGTGTAGTTGTGTGTGGATAGTAGACATAAAGATAGACATACTTTGTATAGTGTCTGTGTGTAATGGTTAATACCTACATAACGATTCATGTGTGTGGTAAGTATTTAATAATCGGCTTGAAATCTTACAACTAGAATGATAATGTGTGTTAGTTCATCTTCTTTTTATGAACATGGCAAGGCTCTAGCAGGATATCAGCGGCGTTGTGAAACACTCCGCTATTTTGCTGAGCGACAGACCTTTTTCTTTCACACCACTATTGTTATGTGTATAGTTTATATTTAATTTTACTTATTAATGTGTTGAGATGAATAAACAATTTTATTATTATTATCATATTGAATCACAAAAGTATTGACTACGAATGTAGAGCATTTGTCAAAAATTATATAAAAACAGAAAAATCTGGATATAAGAAATAACCAGAATAAGATGTCTATTTCGGAAATTTGCAAAATCCTGTTCCGGGAATAGAGAACGGTGTATCCGATAAACGTTATTACTTGCGTACGTGCCAAAAGAGTTTGGCAGGAGTGCCCAGAAGGTAAAGAAATATGGACGCGGCATTACTATAAAGTTTGTTAAGGAATTTTTAGCAGTAGACCTCCTTGTGTCACCCAGGGAAGTACTACAATTACACCTATAACTACCGTTAAGCAGGCATGTAAGTATTGCTGCATTCTGGTTTCTAAAGAGGTGAAATTCCTGTAATTTCTGTGTCTGCAAACACGGGACGAGGGTGCAGATACAGTGCACCTTAGATCTTTGCGATTCAAAGAATCTAATAGCATCTGTTCGTCACGCTACTTGAAAAAAAAAAGACTAAAGATTGTATACCGGCTATGCAGTGCTAAAAATTTGTGTTAAAAAGATTGTCCAAAAAGGTTTATGTCTGAGAGAAATGCCTCAGTGACCACGGTAACTACAAAATAAATAATTTATAAAAATGGACGCCATTATTTTTGCGTATATTTAAAGGACAGTTCTGCGAGCAAGCTCCTCTCAACCGAAGTTTGATTCTATTTTAGCTAACAAATCATACTCAACAACATTCCATAGATACGAGGTTTGTCGGTTCCTCGTTAAATTATATCATAGTTTAAACCAATGATCTTATGTTTAAACATTATTATGGTCTCAGGAACTCGTAACTTTTTACTAAAAAACTATATGCTAATTTATGCAAACCGTATATAAAGTTATTCGGTGCTCATTCAAATAATTATTGTAGACGTGTACATATATTTTTTTAATTAGGAGTGGAGAATTATGAAGAACATTTCCTAGCCTCCCCGCACGACACGTACCATTCCTTTACCTTTCCTGTACGTCTGGCGTGCCCTGGACAACAGTCAGCGAACACCTTACGCCAATTTCCAAATCATCGATACGACAAGACGAAGTAGATGATGGTTTTTCCAATGTCCCTTCTGGAAAAATTTGTATAATTTTTTTTTATGCATATGAAATAGGCGCACGCTTGGCCACAGTCTGACCTCATATTAAGTGACCGATGTTAAAAATGCCTATTTACTCTCGCCTTGAATAATCCCAAATAGTACTTTTCGGGAAATATATTTATATACCAGTAATGTATTTCAATGCCTTGTTGGACCCTTTTGTTCGAAAATTAATTTAATTAACATTAAATTGACAAACCACAACTCTAGATTTTAGTTTCAAGATCATGTTCGTTGAATAGCGTTGAGTTTAGGTAATTGATGTACAAAATATAATCAAACTTTCTTTTATTAAGCTTTTATCACGATGTTTTTTACTTGATGTCATGATATTCAATTTTTTTTTATGAATGTACTCCACTAGTGTGTAATAAATTATTAATGCATATATCGAACACTAAGGAATACTCCTTTGATCTGGCTGGATTCTAACCAGCGTATTCAGCATACCGTCCCGAGTCTCTCCCAACTGAGGCTACGGAACGAACCAGCAGACCAGACTTTACGAATTTCTCTATGTGTTGCAGGTATTTATTTTTGGGTTTTAACGATGGTTTTGCCGTAATGCCATCTGTGAGAAATCTATGAAAGATCTTCACTCGGCCAGGTAACTTTACAGCTACCAGCGACTGACTAGAGATGTTGGTTCAACAAAAATTATAGTATTAAGTCTATTGAATATCAAGACGTTTTACTACTATAATATTCAATTACTTTTTTTTTGTGAAATTACTCCACTAGTTTCTTTAAAGCTGGCGGGGCCGTCCTCTTCAGATCCTAATACACTGACATGGGTACAAAATTTTCTAGGAAACCAACAATATTTAAACTTTATTAAATTTGTACATTAATTTCTCACCTTAACATCCACACTGTGACACCATTAATCACAGAATCCGTTCAAAATCCAAATGTTTCCTAACAAAGTTAATTAAACGCGAAGTTGGTAGCTGTCGAGAAATTAATTAACAGATAATTCGGAACGTTAGGTTCTGCTTTTAGTTATGTTTGGTGTTACGATTAGTTTGTGCGTACTAAATAGTGGGTTTGCAAAATCAATATGTAAGTGTTATGAGGGTAAACAATGTGCTACTATTTGTTTTCTCTCTGATGTTAAAGCCTGGCCCAGCGTATATTTTGAATTAATATTCTAAGAATTATTTTATCAAGTAGAACGCTAGAAGAAACTCCACAAACACATATGTTTGGCGCTCCAATTATTTCATGTAGGTGACCACCCGATACGAGTCAAAGAACAGATCGCGCGTCTTCTGGAGAATTCTCGCACACTTTCGGGAATTCCCGCACCTCCCATACCAGATCTAGTTTATACGTTACACAATTCATATAAAATTCATTATGCTATGTTTAATTTGGTTACAAAAATTAGCTTCATCTTCGTTCTACGGCAATGTAAGTTGAGCCTTAAAGTCCTTGGTCTCGTATTTTCACTTTGGTAAATATTAAAAGAAGTGTTCTAAATAAAGTCCACTTTTTATGACAGCAAGTGATGGCACGAACAAGTCGTGGGCCTGATGGAAAACGACACGGCTATCCATAACAATTGCAGTGTCACTTAGAGCTTTAAATCGCAAAGATCTGAGAGGCATTGTCATTGCCATTACGAGTCCGGTTAACGGTAGTAATAAATAGTATTTTACTACATGTTCGTCTATAAGGTTTATGGGTCAACCTGAGTATAAATAAATAAAAAATATGCCTGTAATTTCCCCAGCACCAAAACCAGAACGCAGTAATGCTCACATTACCATTTGGCGTACATACATTACTGCTTGACGGTAGATATAGGTAAGGTGGTAGCACTTCCCTGGACGGACTCTTTCACAAGGAGCTAATACAACTTAGAAGCATCTTAGAAAGGAAGATCGAAGGAGAGATCAGAGGAAGATTGAGACAAAGTCTCAAAAAAGATCAGATAAGAGAAAATGTTAATGACCCGTATATTCATTTAAGATTATTGGTCTTGTTGTACCAGGAAATCAAAGTGCTGAATAGAGACGTTTGACGGTGAATTCGCCGAAAATAGTCTGGCTTTTAAACAATAATCCTTTTTAATTACTTTGTACAGTTGTGTAGGTAGCGAATTTGTAAGAACCTGTATTATGTTTATGGTTTTGTTTCTATCATACAGAGTTAAGAGAGAAGTTTATACTTTTAGCACTTTGTTATAATAGCTTTATTAATGGATACTGTAAAAGATCTATTGTATGTAAATGAACTGTCATTCTTCGATGTAATATTTTGAACGTATTTTTTTATTAATTTTTACATCGTGTTTTAGTCATGGCGTTAGCACAAACTTGGCCGTTTTTTAACCGACTTCAAAAAAGAAGGAGATTATACATTCGGCTGTATGTAAGTTTTATGTATGTGTGTTTCAGATTTCTCCGTCAATTGTCGACCGATTTTTAAAATTCTGTTCTTGTTTGAAAGTTGTCACCAAGTTAGAATCTGATGAGGGGTTCCATGGAAATCCAGGAAAATCCATCAAATTTTAGGCATGTCAGTACTGTAGACTAGGCTGTACTCTTTGAGTAGGATTGCTGGCTGAACATAGGTAGTGATTATAGTTTGTATTTGGAACGCTAAGAAAATAAGGAAGGATCTTGACATATCATATTAAGATCATTGTTTCGTAACCCTACGCCAAAATTATGTAAAAAAGTGAAATAAAGTATAAAATTGAAGATTATTATAGTTTGAGTTTATAGAAATGCCTCTCGCCGCGTAATCTGAGCTACAGCCCTCGATTATAAATGGTGGATTGCGCCGGCTTTACAGAAAAAAAACCGTGGATAAGGATTCCGATGAAGAAAAGTCCGGTGTAGAATATTTTCATGTCTTGTTACGACACAACATCAAGAAAACGTACATAAGGTCGTAATATATATTTTTTACTTTTTATTAGAAAATCGTTGTTGTGTGCTTGTGCACTTCGTAGTAGTTACCAGTAAGGTAAAAAAAATAAATAAATTAGAGCTATACAATGAATCATACACCGGCACAGAAATTTTCGGGCCTAAATGATGTGGAAGAGTTTCTAGCCCAATTTGAAGCGATTAGTGTGATAAACAACTGGTCGGACGGGCAAAAAAGATACGTGATTGCGACGTATCTGGAAGGGCCAGCGTTGCAGTGGTATAAGACCCATTTTTCTGTATATGCCACATATGATGTCATAGCTCAAAAATTGAAGGAGCAGTTCCCCTCGCAGGTCGATTATGCTCAAGAATTTTACTATAGGCGGCAGAGGCCTAATGAGCCGCTTGTAGAATATTTTTACAATCTCGATAGTTTGGCAACGAAGGCAAAGATTGAAGATGATGGGAAATTCATAAAGCATTTCCTGAAATCTTTAGCCCCCAACTATCAGTGGGTACTTGCCAGCAGGTTGTTCGCGTCTAAAGACGAGCTAAGAAAAACCATAATACAAATGGAAGATGTATTTAATCGTCAGACAAGCTTAGAGCAACAGAGTATTGAATTACCAGTGTGTATTTCAAAAGATTATCCTCACTCTTGGCAAGCACAAGGGGATCCTTCACCCGTTGGTGGATCCGTCGTTACTTATTCGAACTATCAAACGCCACAAACGCCGGACACGGCCGTCGTTCCGTTTGATATGCAGCGAAATACGCCACGCGGAAGATACAACTTGAGGCCGCGGCATGTATATTCACAAGCTCAAGGTAGTGGTTCTTCGACGAGTTATCCCCAACGTCGATTTAATCAAGGCACAACTGCTCATGCAAGAGGCGATCACCCAAACGCACCGCCACGCCGATAGATAGCCGGGATAGTCGGACGTGGAATGCGGAGCCGGCGTGTTTGAAACAAAGATTGTGTGTAGTCGATAAGTGTAGTGTAAATAGGGCACCCTTTATAACTATTTGTATAAATAATGTAGATTGCGAGGCCTTGGTGGATACTGGTGCTTCTGTGTCAATAATCTCACAATTGTTTGCAGATAAATTGAATTTGCAGTTCGAAAAAACGCCGAGTTTTCCTTTGCGCACAGTAGGTGGTACGCGAATAATTGTACAAGCGTCCACCAATGTTTCGTTGGTAATACAAGGAAACAAATATCAGTCAAAGCTGCTTGTTGTAGATGATGGTGATGAGCTCCTTATTTTGGGACAGGACTTCCTAACGGTAAATGGTGCGGTAATTGATTTTGCAGCCTCGAAGCTAATCTTAAAAAGAAATGTTGAAATTCCTTTCAATTCTGTCTCTGACGTCACTTCAAGGAGAAAGAACTGTTGTTCTATTGAACCAATTTTGAAAAGTCATAAAACCTTTTCATTAAACAAATCTGAATATTTATATTTCGTTAATTTATTAGATACGAATGGTGACCATATGTTTAATGTTTCGAATAGAAAAAAAATAGAATTTAATATTGATAATGCATTACAGGAGAAAAGGCGCGATGAATTAAAGCAGTTGTTATTAAAGTTTCGCGATACGTTCTCTTTTGCGCCAGGCGAATTAGGGTGTTATAATCACTCATTAGTTGAAATTAATACCTCCGATGAGGAACCGGTGCATAAAATGCCATATCGTGTCTCCCCTAAACAGAGACAAATTATTGAGGAACAAGTAGAGGAAATGTTAAAATATGGCATAATTCAGGAATCAAAAAGTCCATATGCTTCACCAGTAGTTTTAGTGGATAAACCAGAAGGGCCACCGAGATTTTGCATTGATTATAGGGCCTTGAATAAAAAAATTAAAAACGATTCATACCCTATTCCGAGAGTAGATGATTTGTTAAGTTGTTTACAAGGTGCAAAATATTTTGCAGATTTAGATATGAACTCGGGTTATTGGCAGTTAGGTTTAGGAAAAGGGAAGGAAAAAACTGCCTTTGTTACACATACCGGCCTATATGAGTTCAATGTGTTACCTTTTGGCTTGAAAACAAGTCAAGCGGTGTTTCAAAGAGCTATGGATAAGGTGTTAGCAGGCATGAAATATCGTAATGTGATAGTCTATGTAGATAATATATTGGTATATGCAAGTACCTTTCAGGAATTTAAAATTGCATTAAAGGAGGTTTTGATTCGTTTGCGGAATGCGCATTTGACTTTAAAACCAATTAAGTGTTGTTTCGGTTTTCAGAAGGTGACTGTGCTGGGACACGAAGTGTCGGCCGAGGGAATAGGACCGGATAGTAGGAAAGTTGCGGCGATGAAGGAGATAAATCCTCCATCTAGTCTGAAAGAAGTGAGAGCTGTTTTAGGATTGTTCTCTTATTATCGAAAGTTTATTGATAATTTTGCTAGATTGGCGCTTCCCATCACGAATTTGACGAAAAAGGACAAGGCGTTTGTTTGGACAAAGGAGGCGCAGGAGGCATTTGAAGTGTTAAAAGATAGGATTTGCAAGGCGCCTGTTTTAGGACATTTCTCGTCAGATAGTGAACAGGTGACGCGGTTATATGTAGACAGCAGTGGTTATGCGATTGGAAGTTGTTTAATGCAAGGTGTGAAAGAGTTGAAACCTATAGCTTATGCCTCGAGGAAGTTAAGTGAAGCAGAGAAGAAATATTCTGTTACAGAGAAGGAATGTTTAGCGCTTATATGGGCGTTGAATTATTTCAAAAGTTATTTGTGGGGACTTCATTTTCAGGTGGTTACTGATCATCGGGCGCTTGTTTGGTTAAAAGGTAAGAGAGATATGAGTGGGAGATTAGCTAGATGGGCGTTATCGATTCAAGGTTGGGATTTCGATATTGTTTATTGCAAGGGTAAGGACAACGTTGTCGCAGATTTCTTGAGTAGGAATCCGTTGTTGGAGGACGTAGAGTCGAGAGTGGAGCGTATACCGGAGCAGAGAGACGAGTTAAGGTTATATGTTTTACGTGCGAATGATGTCCAGAGTAAACAGGAGGCGGATGAATTTTGTAGAAATATTATTAATTGTATCCGTTCAGGTGTTGGTGATAATTATCGAGGCTTCTTTTTACAGAATGGAATCCTTTTTAAGAAGTGTAGTTTGAATCAAAATTTAGTTGATTTAGTGGTCGTTCCGTCGGAATTATTTTCGGAATGTATGAAGGAACTGCATGATAGTGCTTGGACGGGCGGACATTTTGGTTTGTTTAAAACTTTTTCAAGGTTTAGACAGAGGTATTTCATAGTGAATGCTGAAAAAAAGATTGAGTCATATGTCAAAAGTTGTCAGTTGTGTCAGGAGCGCAACATGAATAAAACGATTGCACCATTGGTTTCTATTCCCGTGAATAATATTTTTGAGCGTGTAGGAATTGATGTTTTAGGCCCATTCAATCGTTCAGATAGAGGCAATAAATATATAATTGTGAGTATAGAATATCTTTCGAAATATGTAGTGTGCAGAGCCGTATCCAGGGTGACAGCGGAAACAATTTGTGAATTTTTGGTGTCCGAGATATTTTGTAGATACGGCGGAGTAAAACAAGTTTTAAGCGATAGAGGATCGGTATTTACTTCTCATTTGGTAGAGGAGACAGCGCGAGATTTTGGAGCGATTATGGTGCATACTACGGCATTCGATCCCAGGTGTAATGGTTTATGTGAGAGATTTAATAGGACGCTGTTAGGAATGTTAGCGAAATATATAGGAAGCGAACAAAGGAATTGGTGTAGCATGTTACCATTGGTGTGTTTTGCTTATAATTCTAGCAAACATAGCAGTACCGGGGTGTCACCATATATGGTATTGTTCGGTAGAGAATCCTTATGTGCGTCAGATATGGAATTAGGGATTAATTGTGTCAATGTTGCGGAGAACCTGCAAGATAAAATTGCAAAACAAGCAGCGTTGATTGATGTAGTTAAGGAACGAATAGTGAGGGCGCAGATAAAACAGAAGCGAAATTATGATAAGAAGGCAAAAATGGTTGTGTATCAGCCAGGGGACTTGATAATGTTATATTGTCCTAGGAGAATTTCTAATAGGAGTATGAAATTAGCTAGATTATTTAAAGGGCCATATAGAGTAGTAGGTCGATTAAGTAGGGTTAATTATATTGTAAGAAAAGTAGATGTAAATAGGAATAGATTGTGTAGGCAGGATCTAGTCCATGTGAATAGGATGAAAAAGTTCCTTAGGAGATAATTTAATATTTTCTTGTTTTCTATTAGGTTATCTAATCTTTTATGTTTACTTTTCATGTGGGACCACATTGACGTTATGAGAAATATTTGGAGAAAAATTAATATTTTCCTGTACATGCAGACTTGGAAGGAAAGGAGGAGAAGATACACCATCATATAGATAAAATTTACTTTTGTTTTCCTTTTTCAATTTGATAGATATATTATCCTGTATGTGCGAATAGTTCATTTATAATAGAGGGCTGTAGCTCAGATGCATTGCGAGAGGTACTTTTAAT